AAATTCATCTTTGAACAAGTATTTACTGTCAGATGATTTGCCAAAAACTGATGTTTGTAGAACTGAAGCAAGTTTAGATCTTAAAAGTGATTACAGTGAAGGAATATTGTCTGATTCAGTTGACAGCAAATCAATTCTCAAAAATCTTGTAAGAAATAATAGTTGAATGCACAGGGTTTTTGATGCAGTTTTCATATTTTTGTATGACATTTATTTTGAAACCCACAAAAAGGTCAAAATATGTGTATTCCCTTTTGGTATGTAATGAAAGTCGAATGCCTTTAATTGAACGTACTAAAACTGTAAATAGCAATGCTTCTCTTGTTGTGGCCATCAACAGTATTAAATATTCAGAGATTTTTGTATTAAAAACAATATAAACTATTGAACAGTAACATTGCCTCAATGTACTGATTTCTGAGAACCCTCCTTGGGTGAACATTTGGCAACAAACTTTGACTTGGTACTAATAAAAGATAAAAAATTCCCTTCTCCTTGCAGTTAAGGACAAGTATATTACCTACTTAGGGTTTGTAAAAGCCTTGAAAGTCCTTGAAGATGCTTGAATTTAAAAATTAAAAACTCAAGTCCTTGAAAGTACTTAAATCTGAGGACTAAGGCTTGATTTTTGCAATGCTTTTTCTTTGGCAGTTTTCAAGTTGAAAGTTACAGTACTTTCATGGAAAACCTGAGAAATAATATTAAATGGTCTTAAAATTGCTTATGCAAACCTTTCCAAAAGTGGTCCTTCAATTTTCTAAAACTTTGCCTTTAAAGTCACTGAAAAGTCCTTGAATTTCAACCTTTGGCATCAACAGGAACTTACTCCTGTATGGTAATATATTATTTTGATTGTTGTCTAGTACCATAACAACATTCATTACACTCCAGCAGACAAAAATAAACACAAGTAAACTTATTCGTGACCAGCAATGAAGAAATTGCGTGACGACAGTAACGATGGCAATATGCAGTCCTTTAAAGTAACTCCAGATGTGCGATATTGAAAGCCCTAGTTCACGCGCAGATATGCGTGTAGTTCTTGCTATGAATTCTTTCTGCTTTTAACTCGTGTATTGCGCGTGCATAACACAAGTTATCGTGGGTAGTGGGATAATGCTGTCGTTCGATTACTCGTTGGGCTGTAAACATTATGCAAATGAGGTACGCTCGCTACTTACTTTTAAATTGCTGTCCATCCTTAACTAAAATAAGTTGTTTTAAAGGTCTAAACTAGAAGATATAAGCTTAAAGAAGACTCGGCCACTCAACAAATGATCGGCAACACTCTCCAAACCATAACAGAAGACACGATCTTTGAAAAGTTGCTGCTATTGAAAAATTTCTCCATTTACTGCAACCAAAACATCAGAATTACTCGCGACAACGTTTTCTCGTTACTCTAGTTGTGGTTATTTTTGCATTGTTTCTACTACATTTCAATTAAGTCGTTGTCGTTGCTTACATAAGTCCTGTAGAACACGTTCTTAGTGGGAAATAGTAGTGTAGTAATGAATTACTCACGAAAACTATGAACTTATGCACGTCTAGCATTTATTCTACTTCTGTTGTAGTTTATTCTTGCATTTTTTCAGCTCGCTTATAGTTTCTCTGTCACTTTTGTCGGTGTTCACATAACAAATTTATGTAAAACACGTTCTTAGTGCGAAATGAATATTGGTAAGTTTAAAATGGCTGATCCATTGACTAACTGTAAATCAGTATACCTTAACAATTGCCTTAGTTTTGGTTGATTCAAGATTGGAGCAGGTACCGACAGAATAACCCCCGCGTGTGGACTGGCAGGTCATTACGTGTAGTTATTGACTAGAGAAATAATTTATCATATCTCTTGAACCAACAGAGTCAATGCGAAAACTGAACTACTGCTCGCACTCTAAATATGACAATCATGTACAAAATTCCCAAAACCAGATAGCATTAAACTTAATCCGATAAATAACTTAAGTCGTCTGTCAATTCACGAGTTTGCTCACAGAGCACTTTGATTGTTTCTGTGAGCAAGTACTGGACTCTCATATACGCAGTAACTATGTTGTTTCACACAGCCACGGCAAGTACAATTAGCTGCATCGATCACTATGAGCCCTTTGTCAACTCTTTCAGAAGAGTTTAGCAATTTAAAATCGTCTGCCACCAGACTATTTGACCTTCTATTTGCTACTATCCAGTAAAGGTTTACGTCATTATTTAAATTTCGGGTGTTTTCCGATAACATCCAATCAAATTACACAGGGAAAGTCCCACTAATGAACATGCCCCAACTCGCACAAAACAGAAAAAAGTTTTATTTTAGCCTAAAATGTAAAATAATAATGTTCTCCGGCAAGATTATTTTCGCATATGCTCTAGAATCACAACATTCTCGATTTTTGTTCCCTCTTCAACCGGCTCGCTCTATCATAGTATAACTCCGAACAACGAATATATAGTGACAAGGGATGTTAAATGTATCAACGAACGATGAGTTTCAGCGATACGAACAGTTTGAAGGTTAAAACGGCAATTTCCAAGCTGATCGTGCTAAAACTTTGTATGGGAACTACTACGAGTAAAATCAGACTAACTTTAAAAAAAATTGATTTGAAAACTTCAGACGTCATGAGTACACTGCCCTCGCTGTTTTAGGGTATGTGATTACCTATATATTTTGCGTAAAAATAAAATCATGAAATCTCCGGCTTACTTAGAATCCTCCGAGTCCGATGTATGGCTCTTTGAGCACGTCGCAGTCTACTTGTGAGTTTCAAGTTAAGTTTAAGTGGCAAATTCACTGATTCCTCCATAAACTCCGAGCTGCCTTTGATTCTTTTAAGCACCGATTCAGTGACGCAATCATGTGTGCAGAAGGTGTTCGGAACTTCTCGCAAGTGTTCATGGATACTATTGTTATTTTGATTTGGACGTTTCATACTGAAAAAAAAAAAAAAAAAAAAAAAAAAAAAACTATGGCTGA